CTGGGTAGTGGGCCGAGTTCCTAGCAGGGGGCTGCGAGAGAGGTAATCACACATTGATGCTTCTCTACCTCTCTCCCTCCCTCCCCCTTCTAAAAAAGTAAAGAAAATCTTTTGAAAAAGAAAGTGGGGCAACAGATAAAATATATATCCTCACCTAAGAATTCAAGTGGTTAATGATTGGTTCCAGCATAAAAACGTGATTCCGCGGAAAGAGCTTCATGGCACTCCCATCCCCACTGCACGTCCACCACGCCAGGCACTGTACTAGACACCTCACTACTAATCCTCTTCTAACTCTCACAACCACCCTACAGCGTAGATATCACCCTCATGTTGTGAGCTGAGGACACTGAGCCTCGGAGATGTTAAGCAAAATGTTTAGGAACATCTGTCCTTGGCAAAAACCACCTCTGACTTCTGCAGCCCAGTGTTTATTTGAAGATGGAGATCACATGGCTGTCGTAATTTTCCCACCAAACTGCTAATTCATGACATTGCCAGCTTGAATTTTCTCGTGGAGATTTTTAAACTATGGACATCACAGTCACTAGTGCCTTCAAGCTTTTACACTAGCCCTTCGTTTCCAAACCACAGAAATGTACTCTTCACTCTATTTGAACTTATGTACCCTCTTCCCAAAGAACTCCCCAGAGAAACCCCTTCTGGGCCATTTACTCTGTCCCTCCCATGGTGTGAGAGAACACTATTTGAAGCCAGAGAACTTTTTTGTTTAAATCCTAGCTTACTACGTATTAACTATGCAACATTTAGTAAGGCACAAAATTTCTCAATGCATCCATCAGTAAAATGGGAGACTTGGAATTCAAAGGTTAGAAACTACCAGTCTGCTACCAGATAGAGAAAAAAAGTTTTATATGGTCAGCAGCATTTTTCTTAACCCAGTTCAAACCCTTTACATGAGGAACACACTCTAAATTTCTACTGCTACAGGCCCTACCACACTCTCTCATTTTACATAGCCCATTTCTCCCAGGTCATTCACTTCTAGCACCTGTATGCAATTAGTTTCCAGTTACTGAATTAGATGATCTCTAAGATTTTACAGTTATCATGAGCATACCTTTCTACTTAGTTTTCATGTGATCATATCCCTGTTAGAAAGTCCAGAACAAAGATTCATAAAATTACATAATTTCAGAACTAGAAAGAGTCTTAAGAGATTATCTAGAAAAAAAATCCAACCATCCTTTAGGACACAGATGAAGACTGAAGCCAAACTGCTTAAGTTACTTAGCTCAGAGCTTCTCAATTTAAATCAGTCAGGACAATTCAAATTAACAACCATTAACTAAATCTTTATTCAAGACCCTATGCTGGAGCTACAAAGAGAAACAAGAACTGACCCTACCTATCCAGGGTTCACAGCTAGTCAGGGGCACTGACACACACACACACAGGAAGCGACTCTTCAAGGCACACATGGCAAAAGGAAAGAGAAATCAATCTCATTCATTTTTAGTGAGACCTGAGAAAACCTCCTGAAGGTGAAACATTTGAACAGGGATTTAAATAACGAGCAGGACTGCTGTTATATAGACAGGAAGTGAGGGCACAGCATGAAAAGCCAAGAAGCAAGTAACTGCACAACATAAGCAGAAGAAAGTAAGCTCATCAGCGTGGCTGGGGTACAGTGACAGAAAGTAGCCTAAGAAAGCAAAGTGTAGCCCTAGCTGGTGTGGCTCGGTGGACTGAGAGCAGGCCTGCAAACCAGAGGATCAAGGTTGAATTCCCAGTCAGGGCACAGGCCTAGATTGCAGGCCAGTTCCTGGCAGGGGACCTGCGAGAGGCAACCATACATTGTTATTTCTCTCCCTCTCTCCTTCCCTTCCCCTCTAAAGATAAATAAATAAATAATATTTTTAAAAAAGAAAGCCAAGTGTAGACAAATCCTTACCACTATACCTCCTATCTTCATTAACATACCTCGTCATCCCTTTTAACCAATGACTTAGGACAAAGCTAAAAAAAATGAGAAACTGAATGTTTATTGATTTTAGAGAGAGAGGAAGTGGAAGGAGAAACCCACATGCCCCCCAACTAGGGCCAGAAACTGCTACCTAGGTATGTGCCCAACTGGGAATCAAACTCTCAACTTTTTGGTGTGCAGGGCAATGCTCCAACCAACTGAGCCACACTGGCAAGGGCTCAATAATAATTTATAATGATAAAAACAGTAATAGCAACTAGCACCTAGTGTGGGATTATTATACGCCATGCACTCTACCAAACATTTCATATGCATCATCACATTTAATCCTCACTTTAAAAAACCTATTAGGTAGGTACTAATACTCCTCTCATCACCTATTAGAAATGAAACTTAAAAAGGGTAACTTTCTCCCAAAAGTTGAAACAGATTTGCACCCAACTTTATCTGTCTCCAAAGCCTATATAAACCAAAATGAAGGCTAAGAAATGCACCAATCAGAAAATTTGCAATCGATTATCAACCTCCAAATATCAGTCACTGTGCTGCAAAAGGACAATAAGGGAGCTGAAAAGGCTTCTCTCCAGCCCTGACCCAACTGCATCCCATAACCTTAAACAATGCTCTTGTCTTGAGGTCAAAGAACAGTCTAGAGAGTACAGTATAAAGCTTCAAAACTTCCTAACTGGGGAACCTTAGGGGAACATAACTGGGAAACTTATTTTACTTTTGAGAGCTCCAAGTTCCTTGTCTGAAAAGGGAGTACAGCGGTTCGAACACTACATGTTATGAGAATGAGATAACGCTCAGAAAGTGATTAACACTGTACCAGGCACGTTGTAAGCTGTGGCTGTCTATAACAGTCCCTGCTCGTGTGGAAACGGTACTACAGCTGTAACCAGGGAAGCTGGACGCCGCGACAGGACTGGGAGACTCTATCCGTGTCCAGGAAGCTCAGAAGAGACTGTTTAGAACACACATGACGATATCCCTTGCTAAAAAGTAAAAAAAAAAAAAAAAAAACCACCAAAGCCAACCTCCCCCCCCCCCCCCCCCAAAACCCGTAACGTAAAAACAGAAAGGGAACAGGTAATCCTGACCCCCTGAGGGCTTTGCAATTAGGCGGCATAATGATGGGGTGACAGCGGAGTGCTGTCCCCTCCATAGCCCCAGAGCCTAGAGCACAGTCCGGCAGCGAGGCTCTTAGTAATTGACAGACTGGTAAGAAACCTTGCGCCCTTCCGCAACTCTGAGGCGACTTACCCCAAGGCCAGCTTCCCCCGCAGATTCTGCACCCATAACGCACCTGCAAGAGCAACACAGGCGTCAACTCAAGACTCCCACCTCCACTCCTTTCTATCGCCCCTGAACCACAAGAAATCCTCACCCAAGCGTTCTACAGTGGCCGCCGCCATCTTTCTCCCACCCTCTACGGAAGCCTACGAGCTCAATCCCGCCCTGGACGAGACGCACGCGTGATTCCCCGCTCCACCTCCCCCGCAGAAAACGCTGCAGTCCCAGTACCCGCGATGTTGTCATGGAGACCACGATTAGGCGCCCGGCGCTTCAGTTGCGATCAGCCCAGCCTAGTTTGGGAATGAATGACTTAACAAAGGCTGAAAACTATGACTTTCCGGAAATTCATCCGGATCCAGAAAAATTGCTAAGCCTTACCTCACAAATGGTCTTGAAAGGATTAGGACAAGAGGGACCGTGAACAGGCCACCGAACCTGGGTGGGCCTCAGTTTTCTAGCCAGTAAAATACAATCATTATCCCTAGAGCAGGTTTGTTTTAATATCACTAGAGACCATGTGGAAAGCTCTTTTATAAAACAAACAGTTCAACTATAAAGTAGGAGGTCCTAACCCTATTAATCTCCAAGTTGACCTACAAGAGGTAAAAAGTTAATAACCATCTGGCACTTGCTACCATGTATGTCCAGCCGGTGTTTCACTAAATCTCAGTATTCCTCACAGCAATCCTACAAGGCATGGATTATCATCTCCCTCCTTCAAAGGAAGATTTAAAGTAGGTTAAAACCAGTAGTCAGTCTGGGGCTGCATGCCTCCAAATTTACTGCCAACTAACTACACGTTTGGCGTCTCTGTGTTAGGATGGGTGTCTCAGGTTTCATCTGCTACAGCGCAGGAGTGCCGGATACCCACGCAAACACGCACTGCAGGTGTAGGAGAGTGTAAGTGCGGAAATCTGAGCGTTTTCGCGTAGATTGAAAGGGAACTTCCATTCTTTCTCCCCCACAGCACTTAGCACTTACTGTTTCACAGAGGTGGCGCTCAATCGAACAAGTCGCTATGTTCTTCTCCTGGAATTACCAAGAACTCACAGCCAGAATTTCCACCCAACTGCACAAACTCTTCCCTTCTGGAGTTCTGATTTGAACTTTTATCTTTCTGTTAATTGGCTTCTTGTAGATATCTTAAAGGCAGAGACTTTCAACCTTTTCCATCTTGTGGCACACCAACTAGTAAAATGCTGACAAAAAATAAGGTATAATTTTAATTCATTCACGTTGGACGAGTATTATCGCGTTAACTGTTGTCATTTATTTTATTTGACAATCTTATGGAAATGAGTTCTGTGCCCCTGATGAAATAGTCGGGTTTTGCACATTTTAAAAATTCTCGCTGCACATCAGAGTGCCCCAGCACACCGGTTGAAAATCGCTGTTTTAAAGAATCTCCAAAGCTAGCGAAGTGTCCAGGAACACAACGTTCAAAAAAATACTTGTTGGGACAGCATTAAACGGGGCCAAAGAATAAATCCGCAGTGCGGGAATATGACTCCACCAGTCATTTTGTACCTTGACTGTAGGAAGCAAGAACGCCTGAACCCGGGGCTGCGCTCAGGCAGCAACAGGTCCTGCTGCCCCAGGCGAGGTTGGGAGTAGAATGTTCCCAAGACTGTCGGGCTCATCAAAGCCCTGGGGCGGCGGGAGCAGCGTGCTCTGTGCGGCCTGGGCCTCCGCGCGCGCCGTAGCAGAGGGCCCGTGGAGGCGGGGCTCCGAGGTTAGGTCCCGCCCCCTTCCCGGCTACGGCGTGGGGCTGCAAACGGTCTGCCTCGGTGACTCCTTTCCTTTTCTCTAGTGGCCGGAGATCATGAGCCTGGAGCCGCGCACGCTACCGCCCTCTCCTAACTGGTACTGCACCCGATGTAGTGATGCCGTGCCCGGGGGCCTCTTCGGGTTCGCGGCGCGTACCTCCGTCTTCCTTGTCCGCGTGGGCCCAGGCGCGGGCGCGATCCCCGGGACGCCCCCATTTCGAGGTAACTCCCTCTTCTTGCCCCCACTTTTTCTGCACTTCTTACGTTCCCTGGAGGTACCAAGAGTACGTCTTCAGACGTGCTGAGGGCTCGAGGAGATAAAATGACTTATCTGAAAGCACATGGCAAAGCTAGTACCAGCATTGGAGATTTCTGATTGTGAGTTCCTGGATATTTTTGTTGTACCCTAAGTAAGATCCCTCTACAGATGGAGAAACTGAGGCCCAGGCAGAAGGAAGAGTCTGCTCACAACCCCTAAGCTGAGTCGCGTTCCGATCTCCCAATATTGAGCTACACAACGTTGTGGATGAGCTGTCCCGCCTCCTGGCGCTCTCACGTGGGGACTCCTCGCTTGTTAGAAAGTATCCCTGTGCAGACCCAAGTATTTTTAACATCTGCGGCCTCCCTCCCCCACCCAGTGCGCACAGACCCCTTATGATCCTTTCTTGCGTCTGGGAGCTGCCTACAGCACCAGGCCCTAAACAAGATCCTACGAATGTATGACACTTATTTCTGTAAAATGAATGAATCGAGCCAAGTGCTTTTAGGCTCCAAATGAGGTTTTGATTATACTTGGGATGCGGCATGGCAGATACCAAGCGCTCTCTGGCCAGATCTAAAGAAGAATCACAGTCTTCATTTGGGCTGCTCCTCACCCGTGTGAACTAGGCATATCACGGACTTTCAACAGCATTTTTTACTCTTGAGATGACTGAGGCTCAATGAGATAAAATGACTTAGCTGGGGTCTCATGGCAGAGCATTTGGGGTTGCTGACTGTGAGTTCCTGGACATTTTTGTTATACCACGGAATAAGAGAAATCCCATTCACCATCTAACATTAGTATGATTTGGCCAGAAATCTTAGGTAGCACTTTAACCTGGAGTCTGGTTCTGCTTGCAGTCATAGGGGAGCTGGTGGGACACACCGAAAGAGTCTCTGGCTTCACGTTTTCTCATCACCCTGGTCAGTACAACCTTTGTGCCACCAGCTCCGACGATGGGACTGTGAAAATCTGGGATGTAGAGACAAAAACAGTTGTGACGGAACATGCACTTCATCAGGTACCATGGCTTACTGGTTTCCCAGACTGTTGTTATAGATCTGTGCTGCAGTTTCTTTTGTTGTTATAGATCTGTGCCAAGTACAGTTTTGCTAGTTGAACTGTGCAAGGTAACTTTTATAATTGTGTCCATTAATTAGTTAATAAGCTCCATATTTTAGGAAACATTTTTGGAAGGCAACACTTATAAACCAATGTTCAGCAAACTACATTGTTGCCTCTTTTTTTGCAAGTTGTTTTAATGTAATATAGCCAGTCATTCATTTAAGTATTGGCCACAACTTAAGTATTGGTTGCTGGTGTGCTACATCCACAGAGCTGAATAGTTGCAACTGAGACAATGTGGCCCACAAAATCTAAAATATTTACTCTCTGGTTCTTTACATGACATAGATTCCTGATATAAACTATAAATCAGTAAATGAAACTTGCTTCTAAACCAGATTACCTGATAAACCTGCCTTTTGAGAGAATGTAGGAAAGGAAAAGACTTATTGACTCTAAGAACTTTTCCATTAAGCTATTAAAGGAAAAGAATATTGTAAATGGTTCTTTGATGCTCAATAGCCTAAATTCTCCTACCATTTTCTATACAAGTGGTGCTAACAGTATTTAGTAGGCATCTATAATGTGCCTAGTACTATACTGGTTAAAAACTAAGTAAAATTCAGCATTGACAAATGAGAAGCAAATGCATTTCTGTTTTGTTTTAAAGCACACAATATCAGCATTGCATTGGTCTCCTCGAGTAAAGGATTTAATAGTATCTGGAGATGAAAAAGGAGTAGTTTTCTGTTACTGGCTGAACAGAAGTGACAGCCAGCACCTCTTTATAGAACCCAGGACGATTTTCTGTCTTACTTGCTCACCTCATCATGAAGATTTAGTAGCCATTGGGTAAGTACCGGACTATCTGTGTTGATCATTTATTTTTGCTTAGGATCATGTTTTGCATTTGCTTTACCTTTTCCTGTCCCTTTATTCTTCAAAGGAAACCATTCGCAGGTGGTAAGCACTCCCCCTGAGCCCTTGGGATCATTTATTTATTCCTGTGCCCTCCAGGCCCTACTGTCTCTCTCACTGTTTTTAATTCCTTGGTTTCCATGGTATTATAGTTTCCTCATTCTTCACATCTCATTTCTCCAGTCAACCTCCCAATGTAGGAACCACCCTCTTTCACCATTTTCTCCCTCTTTGCTGGCCTCTGGATATAACTTTTACTCCAGGAGAGTCAAATGACCCAGCTCTGTCTCTGGTTTTCGGCTCTAGATTGGGAACGTGATCTGGTGTTGGGTTCTGTTTCCTTATTGATCACCAAGGTTGTTTCACAGGAGCTGCTCAAGTGGGCCTCCCCCTTGCCCACGCCACTCTATTTACTTCTGTCCCAAAGACGTCCCTTCCCTCCGGTTGAAGGATTGGATAAAAGAAGTCCGACTGGAGAGGATTTAGGAGGTGGGGTGGGGGAGATAAGGTAATGAGTATGTATGGACACAACTTTCTCACAAAGTTTGTTACAAAAAAAAATGTGCATAGACATGAAGCCAGGCAGTATCTGGGGGTCAAGAGAGTATTAAATGGGAGATAATAGGGTGTGTTTTTATGCTGAAGGAAATGAGGCAGGAGAGGGAGAGCTTCTTGTGGGAGTAACCCATGTAAGTGCAGGAGTGATGTGGAGAAGTCAAGAGGGGACTGAATCCAGATCACAAGTAGAAAGAACCCCTGAGACTATGGAAATGGGTGTGGATAGGTTTGTAGATCTGGTTGGGAGGAGGGTGCTTCATTATGATGGCTTCAGATTTTCTCTGAGGCATAAGTCAGAGAGGAGATGGAGTCAAGTTCAGGGTGGTGAAGGGCATGGATGCAGGAATAAGGTATGAAGACCGTCACCTTAGAGCATAGGAAAATGAACTTACTGAGGACAATTGTATGTCCAATGACCCCTGTTGAAGGCCAAGCTAAGGACGATCGTCATGACTTTATCCAAACTGGTTGAGAAAGGAGATTGTTGAATTCAACCAGGTTTGAGATTTTGTGGTACAAGGGAGAGGGGACAAGGAGATAAAGTTATATTTAAAGGAGCGATTATAATGATGGGTCATGAAATCTGTGCTGCACTAGGGGAAGGGTCGGAAGACAGGGGTGGGTGAGTAATGGTGAAGACGCAAGGGGCCTGGCGACTGGCCGTCTCTGTGCAGTGGGAGGGCTGCTGCAGTGGGGGGACTAGAGAGGGAGCGGGAAGGGTGCTGAGTAGGGGTCAGAGAACATGAAATCAAATTGACCTTGAAAGATGAGCTGCCATTCACAAGAAGAGAAGAGTCTCTCAGGTACGTTCAGACACAAGGTTAAATGAGAATGATTTGTATTCCAAGGATCTTCGAAATGGTGATTATTCCCTAAAAGCTCAATGGCCTGGGTCTTATACTGTGTAACGTGGTGATTTTCAAAGTCCATGTCTTCAAAGATGGATATATTCTATTATTTTAGTTTTTAGTAAAACTATAATGGAAAAAAATATTTACAAAAGGAGAAAACTAAATAAATAAAGCTGTCAATGGCATTTTCCCCTGCAGAATTGTGTAGCGTGTAGGAAATACAAAATACGGGAGAGCAGTTTTGCATTTTTCAGTAAAGTGAAGAGGTGTGTGCCTTACATCCTGACAGCTCCATTACTAGGCATCTGAAATTGTCTTGTGTGTGTAAGAACAATAATAGCAGCACTTTTTTGTTTGTGATAGCTAAAAATGTAAGCCCTTCAGAAGGGAAATGAACAAAGAGACGAGGTGTATTCACACAGTGGAGTCTGCACGGTAGTGTGAAGGGCTGGCCAGGAACTGGGGCCGGTTGCATTGTCAGCGTGGCCGACGTGCAAACAGCCGACGTGCAAACAGAATGAGTGAAAAAAGCAAGCCGCAGAGAAACAGACCATGTGATACCATTTATACAAAGTTTAAAAGCACACAAAATAATTCTGTATCTTATTTAGGAATATAAACAAAAAGGCTAGGAATGGTGAAACACAAAATTCACAATTATCAGTTTTCCTCTGGGGAAGAGAGGCACAGAGTTTGGTCAGGGTGAGATACACAGAGCACATCGACTGTATTAGTAATTATCTTAGGCTGGGTGGTAGATACTTTATGTCTAAAATACTTTATCACTCTAAAAAAGCTATTAGAATGTCTCAGTTTCTTCTGAATGCAATAAATGATAGCCTTGGAGCATCCAGGTCTACAATTTCGAGTTCTGCCGCTTTTGTTAACTTTATCATTAGAACGGCAGGATCCATTGGTAAAAAGGTGGTGTTTTCTGAGCATATTAGGAGAGTTCATCTCTAATTGGAGGAATTGCCGGGCGCCTATAAGAACTCAGAACTCAGGCGTGCTCCAGCTTGAGCTTTGTGCCGGGCAGCATGCACACTATTACGATGACAAGAGTGGGTCGTGGAAGAGGGTTTAAAAAAATCAGGGCGCGTGAAATGAACACTTTGGGAAAAGGACAAAGTTAATTAATGCTTTCTTCTTCCCTTCCCCCCAACCCCTAATGCGCTTAACTTTTAAAAATGCACATAACTCCTAAGACAAAATTTTTCCCGGAAAACAAAATATTTTTTAACTCTTGTTTTTCAGCTACAAGGATGGCATAGTGGTTATAATTGACATCAGCAAGAAAGGAGAAGTTATTCATAGGCTTCGGGGCCATGACGACGAGATCCACTCCATAGCTTGGTGTCCCCTGCCTGGTGAAGACTGTTTATCCATAAATCAAGAGGAAAATTCAGGTAGGGGTCGTTTAAGGGAGGGATCTATGGAGCTAAAGAACACAGTGGGTAGAACTGTATCATGTGAATTATATTTAAAACGTTAGGTTTTACAGATGAGGTCTATGAAAGGAGAGCTAAGTTTCGGGAACCCTTGCAAACTGTTTTCCTCTGAGATAAGTGCCCGTTCCATGTAAATTAAAAACAAAATTTCTATTTCTATCCTAGAAGAACCTGAAGTTCCTAATGGGAAAATTAGGGCACAAACTCCAGTGGCAAAAGGCTGCTACTTAGCCACTGGAAGCAAAGATCAGACCATTCGAATCTGGAGCTGCTCTAGAGGCCGAGGTAAGATTGATGTTCGATATTTCTTTTGCCTCATAACCTATATTGATCTGGTAGAAGCAGAAGGTTTTTTATTCTGCCTTGTTGTACTAAGAGTGTACCACCCATCAAAAGCAATTCATTAACTTTACTATCCACAGAGTTGTTTCCCAGCCTGGCCTGGACTAGAACTGTCTGTACTTAATATCTGGCTTTGGTGTTGGAGATGAAGTTTTCTGGTACATTCATAGAAGGATCTCTAGTTGGCAAAAAGCATAAAATGTTTGCCATGAGATTGGAAATACTGGAATTTGGCAAGGCCCAGATCAGAGGAATAGCAAAGACCACTAGAGCTAGAGTTTTTAATGCACCAATCAGAATAAATAATATATGCCCAATAGAGAAGTGCATGTTTAAACGCACTGTTTAAAAGTTCAGTTATCCAAATTACAAGACCCTCGGGGCATTCAGCCTTCCCAGTCATTTCTTTGAACAGCACTTTTGCCTTAAGATTGAGAGAAACTCCACGCAGAGTGGATGTTACCTGTATAGTACAAAATCTAGCCTTTCTCTTTATAGCAGTCTTCTTTCTCCACTTTATTTAAAACTATAGAAGTCTTGTCATCTTTGTCCAAATGAGTTAGTACATGTAAAGCAAGTAGCACATTTAGGGCTTAGTCAGTAGTAACTAGTAGCATAATTGTCTGTATTTTGGGGACACAGAATATTTTAAGGTTTGTGGATAGCTTTTAGACATACTTTGGCTGATTCTCCCAAGTGGGGACAACATCAGGATAAGAATCTGCCTAGACGGCCCTGGCTGGTGTAGCTCAGTGGATTGAGCACAGGTCTGTGAACCAAAGGATGGAGGTTGGATTCCTAGGCAGGGAGTCGGACTTCCCGCTCTTGTAATACCTGGGTCTCAGGCCAATTCCCAGCAGGGGACGCACGAGGGCAACCACACACTGACATCTCTCCCCCTCTCTTTCCCTTCCCCTCTAAAGATAAATAAATAAAATCTTAAAAAAAAAAAAAAGAATCTGTCTAGAAGGGTAACTTCTAAACTTACGGACAACAGTCTTCAAATTTACTAAATCAGAATCTCTAGGAGTCGGGCTCTGGCGCATGTATTTTTAGAAGTCCCACCAGGGTTCTGATACACCAGAGGAACTAAGAGGCTGGTTAAGTAGCAGGACAGGGGGGACTTCCCTGCCCCTGCAGGTTAGCAACCACATGCCCTCTGTGCCTTTTGTCGCATTTCTTGTCAACTAGAAGAAGGAATCCCACCTTCTGTCCCTCCGACTTTAGAGAATCAGATTGTGTTACCACCTGGGTAACCTGTTTTCCCAACCAGTATTCCTGATGTGTCTGAGTTGCCCAGACAGCCTGTAAAAGCTTGCTTGGCTTAGAGTAGCTAGGCTTGTATTAACCACTGTGCATAATAGTGTTACCATGAGAAAACGAGGCCTGAATTCTAAGTAACCAAACTAACAAACTTTGAAACCACAAACCCTACAGTAATCCCCTCTTATCTGACAGTAATATGTTCCAAGAGCCCCAGTGGATGCCTGAAACTGCATATGGCGCCGAACCCTATATATATGTATATATATATATATATATATATATATATATATATATATATATATATATTATGCCTTTTCCTATGTGTACCTACCTGTGATAAAGCTTAACTTATAAATTAGGCACGGTGAGAGATTAATAACAATAATGTTAATAATAAAATAGAGCCGTCATAACGATATACTGTAATAAGTTGTGTGAGTCACTTGGGGGGCATTATTAGGTAAAGCGTTACTTGAACACAAGCCCTGGGAGACCACAATAGTATAGCTGATGACCTAGATGGCTACTAAGTGACGAACAGGTGGGGAGCATGTACAACGTGGACACATTGGACAGAGGATGACTCGTGTCCGGAGCAGGACAGAGGAGCAGGATAGCACAAGGTTTCACCATGCTACTCAGAACAGTGTGCAATTCACAACTTGTGAATTGTTATCTGGGTTTTCCATTTAGTATTTGCAGACTATGACCAACCACAGGTAACTGAAACCACAGACAATGGGGTTACTCTATTGTGTCTGTATTTTGCTGTGTACGATGCGCGCCCACGTTTCTGTGCACATTATACACAGGGTTATTATGCCCACGGTATGTGGTCATTATACACAGCAAAATATAGTTGCCTCATTATCTTGAGTGCCCATGGACCTTCTTTAAACTGCAGGTGTGATGACTTTGAAACTGCCCTTCCTAAAGCGAAGAGGAGGTGTAGACCCCACTGTGAAAGAGCGCCTTTGGCTGACACTCCACTGGCCCAAGGATCAGCCGACACAGCTGGTATCTAGCTGTTTTGGGTAAGTCTTTTTCTGGTTCATGTTCTTTGACATATTTTTTCTTCTATAGGCTCAGGAATTCCTAGACTTCTTTTTCTAGACACAGAAGAAGATGGGGAAAGCAATGGCCGAGGCTTATGGCATGACAGGCCTTTTGTCATGGGAAAATCATGAGACCAGTATCTGTGTTGTCCAATAGCAGAGTTGTATGACGATCAAGTAAGCACAGGTGGTAAGAGTGGGACCTCTTAAGTCAGGTGGAACTGAATTTCCGAATCAGTCTGTGACTGACTGACCGGCTGTGTTGTTGAGTAAGACCCTTCAGTTACTTCACGTATAAAAAGGGGAGGTTACAGTATTTCCTATCTCTTAGGATGTTTATAGCCATTCATTAAATAAATTTGAGCACCAGCTTCTAGTTGCTTGAGATAATAAGTGAATTTAGCCCTGGCCGGTGTGGCTCAGTAGACTGAGTGCTGGCCTGCATACCAGAGGGTCGCCAGTTCAATTCCTGATTAGGGCACATGCCTGGGTTGCAGGCCGGATCCCCAGTGGAGGGTGCATGGGAGGCAATGACACATTGATGTTTCTTTCCATCTCTCCCTCCCTTCCCCTCTCTCTGAAAATAAATAAAATCTTTTTAAAAAAGTTAATTTAACAAAAAGGCCCCTGCCTGTAAATGAAATCATACAGGTAAAGCATATAAAACCAAACAATGGCCGTGACCCTTCACCACCCCCCAGTGACTCGGAAAGGAGATACTATGTCTTAAAGCTTCCGGGACTGGGTGGCATTTGCTCATTAAAGCTGTTGGGGAGATTTGTTCAAAGGGTAGTCTAGCACAGTCACTGGTCCCGGGAGAAGGAAGGACCTGGCAAAGTGCCCACTGCCTCTGGTCCCCCGAGCTGCCAGGCCCCCCCCCCCCGCAAGGGGTGGCTCTTTGTTTCTCTGCGTGCTTCCGGCGGTATTCTGTGCGTAGTTCAAAATACACGGTTTTTGTGCCCTTAAAGGAACATCGAACAGAGTTATTTTGTAACTGAGGGCCCATACTCCGTGCCCAGAATGTCTTCTTTCAGACTGTCTGTGAAAGAGCGCTGATGCATGTTGTTTCTTCGCAGAGGCGAACTGCTGTTGTGGGACCTCACTCAGTCTTGGAGACGGAAACACACGCTTTTTGGTGCTTCGTCAGAAGGGCAGAATCATTCGAGAATTGTGTTTAATTTGTGTCCTTTGCAGACTGAGGATGACGAACAGCTGCTGCTCTCCACATCAATGGACAGAGATGTAAGAACAGCTTACTGCACATTCAGCGCCCTTATGACTTAGATGGGATTAGAGGGTTTTTTCCAACCAATCGTCAGTTCTCATGCCGCACCTTGCCCCCAGTCCCAATTTCACAGCTACTGTTACTGATGGGCACTAAACACATTAATGGCAGAGAGGCAGGGGGAAAGCCAGGAGCCACCGAAGTGCCTGTTTGCTAAAGCAGACGCGATAAAGAAGAGTGGTTGGGCCTGCGGGAGGATGTGTGAGGTCATCGAGCTTCAAACCATTTGCTCTTGGTGGAATATCTTTAAGGCTGAACTGGCTGTAAGAGCCTATGGCCTTACTCTTGCAGTTAAGTTAGGCTCATCTGATAGACTTTTTCTCCCAAGTCCCTCTGTTAAACAAGTGACAATTAAAAACTTAGCACTGCCCTGGCCTATGTGGCTCAGTGTATTGAACGTGGGCCTGGGAACCAAACAACCATGGTTCGATTCCCAGTCAGGGCACATACCTGGGTTGCGGGCCAGTTCCCAGCAGGGGGCACACAAGAGGCAACCACGCAATGTTTCTCTCCCTCTCTCCTTCCCTTCCCTTCCCTTCCCTTCCCTTCCCTTCCCTTCCCTTCCCTTCCCCTCTATAGATAGATAGATACATAGATAGATAGATAGATTGATAGATAAAAACTTAGCACTGGTCTTGGCTGGTGTAGCTCAGTGGATTGAGCTCAGGCCTGCAAACCAAAAGGTTGCTGTTGGATTCCCAGTCAGGGCACATGCCTGGGTTGCAGGCCAGTTCCCAGCAGGGGGTGTACGAGAGACAACCATACATTGATACTTCTCTCCCTCTCTCCTTCCCTACCTCTGAAGATAAATAAATAAAATCTTTTAAAAACAAAAAACTTAGCACTGCTCTTCCACTTGGTATGAAAGGATATTTTGCTTTTTGAGATAACTCTGATTTTTCCGCTGTCCAGAGGCCATCTTTATTGCTTAGAGTTTGCCGAAAGAGGAAGTTGGCAGTGCCCTAATACAGGAGAGTGGAAGGGCCACTGAACTTGTGAATGGCAGGCCCGGGTTCCGGTTTATTAATTGTATGGCCCTGAGTTCACTTGGCATCTCTGGGAATGAATGCATGCCGAGAGATCTTTGAGCTCTACAGTCTACTAGCTGGTTTTTTCCCCAAGAGATGCTTTTCCAGTTCCTATTAGAATAGTTACATTACATTATAGTCTCTGAACCCATCTTGTTTGCAGTGTTGATTTTTTTCCCCCATTTCTCTGATCCTGTGTATATTTAGGCCCTAATCCTCCATCCTTTCAGGTAAAATGTTGGGACATGGCTACCCTGGAGTGCTGCTGGACCCTGCCCTCCCTCGGCGGCTTTGCCTACAGCCTGGCTTTCTCTCCCGTGGACACAGGCTGTTTGGCCATAGGCGTTGGGGATGGGATGATCCGCGTGTGGAACACACTCTCCATAAAGAACAACTATGATGTGAAAAGTTTTTGGCAGGGTGTCAAGTCCAAGGTTACGGCGGTAAGGATACTTTCTTTAAGCTTGCTGTGAACTTTTTTTCAAGTAACTAATTCTTTTAGAAAATACCTTTTCACTTAAATGAATTCTACTGAGAATCACAGATTGTTTAGTAGTATTTCCAATAAAGTTTGAAACTAGGAAAAGAGAAGGACCCTCTCTAACCAAACCCATTATCTCCAAATTTAGGATTTAAAATTAAAGCTTTGTTCAAGTCACCATGTTTTCTCATAGGAAGAAATTGGAAATAACCTGGATGTGCCTCATGGAAGATGCATTAAGTTAAAATATAACCACATGTCGGAGTGGTATCAAACTTTTCAAAATGATAATGCAGGTCTTTTTTTGATTGTTAGAAGCTCTTAATGACCCATGAAGAATGCAAATTACAAAAGAGAAAGCACATTACAAAACCATATGTATCATTTTTTTGTTTTTCTCCAAAGTGAGACATCTGTTGTAGCCAGTTAGTCTAAAAGCAATCTTTTTGGTTAAAAAAAGAAAACCAAATAGTACTGGAGGTTAGAAAGCAAAAACTTCTCCTGCTCTACTCTCCAGTCCATGCCCCACTCCCGTAATCCAGAGAACTGCTGTGGGCCATTTGTGACGTGTCCTTCCGAATGCTCTTAAGTACTAGTAGAATCATGTTTTCTGAATTGTCCTAGCATCTTTTCTCCCCACTCAGTAGTGTATCATGTCCGTCATTCACACGTTGGAACCTATTTTTTTCCATTGTATGTATCTTAAGTTTATTCACAAAAAATACTCTGGGAAAATATAATACTGGCAATAGGAGTTTTGGATGGTGAGATTACAGGTAACCTTTTCTTGCATTTAATACATCTGTGTTTCTTTCCTCAATAATGAGAATTTATAAAATTAGAGACCCTAAGAGCAAGGAAGTTTTCTTCCTTGAACGCCTGCAGGATAACCTGAGAGCCCCCTTAATGGTCCGCCCCTCACCCTGCCCTTTGCAGCTGTGCTGGCACCCGGCCAAGGAAGGCTGCCTGGCCTTCGGCACCGACGACGGGAAAGTGGGGCTGTACGACACCTACTCCAACAAGTAAGAGAACGGGTGGCTCTGGGGTCAGGCCGGGGACCGCGGTGTCAGTGACGAGGTCTGAGTTCAGAGACCCGGACATCATCGGAATTAGCCTGGGAAGCATCTTGAAGATTTTGGCTCAGAGTCTAAGGCTTAAAACTTGGAATTTAATTTAAAAAAATATTTTTCAGGTGATGGTGGTTCAGCCCATCTGACCTGTAGGAATAAAAGCTATTTGCTTTTCTTTTCCCTCAGCTTTTGTTTACAGAAGTTTTCGGGCATCCAGGAACACTGAAAGTCTAGCCCAAGGAACACCACTGTTCCTTCGAGGGAGATTCACCAGTTCACGTTTTGCTGTACTTGGCTTTATCTATGTAACTTAATAAAATTAACAGTAACTCCATAATATGATTTCATATCCAGCCATAAACAAATCAAACAGTTTTGTTGGGACCCTGCCACACTCGCCTGTTTTATATCTTATCTGGGGCTGCGTTCCGAGCTCCACAGCAGAGTGGACTAAGCGCAACACCAGCCACATATTGCAGAGGCTGGAAGTGTTGGGCGTCTGGGCTTCGAGGAGATAATCTAAAAATCTTGTCTTAGTTTAAGAATGCGATGTTAATGACAGGGTAAACTAAAAATAAGAGTCTTTTACTTGAATATGTGGTGAGTACATTTGCACGGTGCTGCTTAGCAGTAACAGCTCTGGACTGAGCAGTTTGTATTTTCTGTGTAGTCCTGTTTTTCTCTCATTGTGACAGCCTTTACACTGCTATATAGTAACCGCAGTGATCGTAGAATATTTGACATTTAAATAAAGTGGGCAACTCAGAGGGCGAGATAGGGGAAATGATTACAAATTGGCCAGATGAGTGGGTCGGGAAGAGGGAGGAAGATACCTTTTTTTTTTTCTGGGTAAAATGTGTTTGAGACTTACTCGTTTTGTTAGCAAATGTCATTACAGGGCATGTGATTTAAGTATTTGCTTCTTTACAATCAGCTGTTTGGAGAAGGGTACCATTAAACTGTTTTTCTCCAATATCAGCAAGTAAGTTTGTAATGGGGACCTTTTATGCAGGGGGGAAAAAGGCGTTTTTCCCACTATGCCTTTTTGTTTTAAATCTTTTTATTTGTAACCCCCATCTCCCCAGGCCACCACAGATTTCTAGCACTTACCATAAGAAGACTGTGTACAGTTTAGCCTGGGGGCCACCGATACCCTCCATGTCACTTGGTGAGTGTCTTATAAACTCTGGAGTATTCTCTTTGTTTCGTTTAACCCTAAGGTCTTCAATAGTCATAAATATTTCAGTGCGGTGACTGCTCGTGCTGTCTGCCATGTCCCCAGGGAACCGCGAGGGCAGCTGTGCTGGGCGATAAGTCGGGAACCATTCACCCATAAGTCTCCTTGAGCGCTAAAGCAAACCGAGAACTTCTCACATGACCCTGTTGCCTCTCGTATTCTGACGCCTTCCCTCTTGCAGCCCCTCAGCCTGATCGTTCTTACTCCTAAAGTGACAGTTCTTTCAAAGTATCTTTAAAATGTGTGTGTTCAGCAAAAATCTTTGGTAAACTTTCTTGGCCTACTATAAACTTCCACAGTAATTGTGTCGCCAAGGGAAGAGCGTGTGAATCCTCAGAACTCAAGCAGCACCGCGGCTGTAGTTCATTCATTCACTCAAGAGAGGTGGCCGGATCCCCGACTTGTGCCAGGCAGAGTTCTAACAGTGGTGAAAATAAACTTTGCCCGAACAGAAAACCATCGGAACTGCCGTTTGCTTCCTAAAAATCAACAGGAGGGTTATTATAACACTAAAGAAATCACTGCTTTGAGGGCAGCTCCTTCTAGTTAGTCATAGAAAGTCCTGCGGCTTCATATATTTAATTGCCCCACAGCAGAGAACTTACTTCCTAAAGGAAAGGTGAATTCTTAAAACCTCTGAAAACTTTTCTGATTCCAGCTTTGGCACTCCTACCTACTATCATGAATGAAGCAGAAGAATATTTAAAACAAACACGCTGCTTTATAAATATTAATGTAGAATTATTAGTATACTGATTGTACTCCTACTCCCAGCAACTAGTTTCAGATGTAAAGAACTGTGGCTTTATCACAACGTATTAATAGAATTCTATTAAAACAGTCGATAGTATGATATGGCTGTCCTGCAGCTGGCAGAGTGCAAAACAGACTGGCTTTCTTATCTCTCACAGGAGAAGGAGACAGGCCTTCCCTCACTTTATACAGCTGCGGAGGGGAAGGCCTTGTCTTACAGCATAACCCTTGGAAGCTGAACGGAGAGGCCTTCGACATCAACAAACTCATCAGAGACACCAATTCCATCAAAGTAAGTTCTTGCGGTCTGAACTCTCCTCTCCATCTCTGTATCTTGGTTTCCCATCTTACATAATAAATGTCATTATCAGAGCTATCCATTATGCTTAGTCAGATTTCTTAGACGTTCTTTCAAAACTCAGTGAGTTTATAAGTTATAACACATGTCTTAGAATTCTTTACCCTTGAGTAAAGGAAGGAACTTAATTTAAAAAATGTTTCAGTCGCAGTGGTGATTTAATAGAAACTTTCAGATCTTGGATATAAAAGCATCTTTTGCACTTCCTCCAGAGTCACACCTTGGCAAAAATAACCTTATAACGTGGTGTCCCGGTATGGCTGCAGGGTATGTTGCTCAAGAAAGAATTGTCATTTGTTTTTCATTTTTTAGTGAAGTAATTACATATTTACGCAAAAGCTACAAAAATAATACAGACAATTCCCTGTTGTCCTTGACCCGCATTCCTGCATTTAATCCCATTTGCTGTACGAGCCTATCAATATATCTGTACGCCAGAACTGTCTTTTGAAGTGAAATCATAAATGCAGCTATTTCCTTAGCCTTTCAAAAAGAGCATTTTACTGTTGCTCATTATTTTTGGTTTGCTGGCATAAAAATAACATTTAGTCATAAACTGAGTTTTTATTGACTACATTCCTCCATTGTCTTTCATTTTTAAGATTTTATTTATTTATTTTTAGAGAGGGGGGAAGACAGAAAAGGAAACATCGATCGGTTAAGAGGGGGAGAGAAGTCTCCATCGGTTGCCTCTCGAGGTCCCCAACTGGAGACCTGGCCTATAATACAGGCATGTTCCCTGACCGGGAATTGAACCAGTGACCTTATGGTTCGCAGGCTGGTGCTCAATCCACTGAACCACACCAGCCGGGGTCCTCCTTTGTCTTAAATATTACCTGAACACTAACATTCAGCAATGAATTTTAAGAGACCAAATTCCTGTTCCTGATGAGCTTCGAGCTTTGTGGCAGTTGAATGTGTGATCGGAAGCTCATACAAGGAGTTTGGGCTAGCAACAGAAGTTTAGAATCCCTTTACATGAATGGTAGTTGAAGCAGCCGTGGGCATGTTCAAGGTGATCTAAAGAGACAAGGGGAGGGCCCAGGCAGCCTCAGCGAACACCAACACAGAGAGTTTGGGGAAAGTGGAAAGAAACAAACGAGACAGGAAGAAAAAAGGACATTGCGTGTGGTTTCTGCTAAGGAGACCACGAACCCAGTGTTGGCAGAGCCAGCGGGCACATTTCATTCTTCATTGTGGGTTAAAAACTGTTTTGACGTAGGTCATTTCATGAAGTTAGACACGGTAGACTTTTAGCATTTACTGGCTTCATTTTGTTCCAATTAGGAAATTATAATTAGAACATTGTTCTTTGATTAATTTTGTAGATTATTTATAAGAATGGCTGTTGTATAATTTGAACATTTTTAAACTCTGGGGATTTATTTCCAATGCTGCCATCATTGATTTGTAAGATACATGGAGAGAACAATGTTTCTAGTCAAGATCGGTTTATTTTGCTTTCTAGTACAAATTGCCTGTACACACAGAGATCAGTTGGAAAGCAGATGGCAAAATCCTGGCTCTTGGCAATGAAGATGGGTATGTGTTTGTTTCTTTTTTAAAAAGACTTTGTAATTGTACATATATTTGGTCATAGGCCGGCTAATGCCATGTGTAATTTTAGTTGGGGAAGCCCAGTTGTAGTTGATACTCTGATTTATCCTTGATATCTGTGAATGATCCAGGAGCTCTCTGCATCTTTGAGAATTATAAAATCAGTTGGATGTTTTCATTCCAAAGAGAGCGTTTGCCTGCTCTGTGTGTGGCTGTTTTATGCTTCAACGGCGTCTACAGTGAACTGCCTACGTCTCCCTTCATTTTTCGACAGCGAGCCCAGGCACAGGTCCTCTGGAGGCCTCCCCATGCCGTCCCCACGTCGTTCATAGTGACATGGTCCTAATTCAGCCATTGGTCCGTTCATTCTTCTGTTAGCTTCTCCCTCGTACTGTTTATTACAAGAGCCTGATAAACACAACTTCCCAGAGATTTGGGGGATTTTTTAAGGCTGAAAATTTCTGTTTGAGAGACAACCTTTTGTGCCTGGTTCTTTGTAAGACACTGACCTTTGCAATAATAGGGTTATCCTGTGCCTTTTCACCTTTCACCTTTCCTTGGTGGCGGGATGAAGGAGATACCCATTTGCCGTGGCTGTAAATTGATTATCCGTCTTTCTTGTCTTGGTGTCTTTCCCGTTGTAGGTCAATCGAAATATTCCAGGTCCCCAACCTGAAGCTGATCTGCACCATCCAGCAGCACCACAAGCTTGTGAACGCCATTCGCTGGCATCACGAGCACGGCAGCCGGCCGGAGCTGAGCTGTCTGGTGGCCTCCGGGTCCAACAACGCTGTCATTTACGTGCACGACCTGAAGGCGGTCTTAGGTGACTTCGGTTCTTCTCTGCCCGGTGTGCTGTTGTGTGTGTAGCTGCTTTCCATTCCGATCTCTGAAGCTTGTGACTTTCGTTTGGCCACTAAAATAATGTTATTCTTACTCTTATTTTTTTCTGTTTTCAAAAGTAATATATCCATTTTATTTAAAATAAGCAAAATTTCAACTGTGACTGAAATGGTAACTGAGAAAGGAAAGTTCCACCTTGGCTGGTGTGGCTCAATACATTGAGTGCTGGCCTGTGAACCGAAAGGTCGCCAGTTCAATTCCAAGTCAGGGCACATGCCTGGGTTGCAGACCAGGTCCCCAGTAGAGGGGTGTGCGAGAGACACACCCACAGGTACATCAACAGATTGATGTATCTCTTGCACATCGATGTTTCTTTCCCCCTCTTCCTCCCTCCCTTCCCCCTCTCTAAAAATAAATACAATTAAATAAATATATGAATGAGAATTCCAAGAATGGTTTAAAAACAAAAAAGTAAAGTTCTTCCCATAATCTCATCCCTCAGTAATGAGTATTATCAGTTTGTTGCATGTTTTCTCTAGATTTTTTAAAGATTGGTTATTGCCTAGTGACCCTCCAAAAACACTGTTCCAGTTTGGACCCTCTTCCCTTAGTGCTCGGGTATTTACACACGACCCAGATCCCGTCCACACGTTTGACCGCAGTCTGCGTGGCAGGTTTTGTTATCCTCGTTCCCCCTTGTCTTTCAGAGAGTAATCCTGAATCTCCAGTGACCATTACAGAGCCCTTCCGGACCCTCTCAGGGCACACAGCCAAGATCACCAGCCTGGCATGGAGTCCGCATCACGACGGAAGGCTGGTGTCTGCCTCCTACGACGGAACTGCTCAGGTACGGCCGCGGCGCTGGGCTGTGGGCCCTCGAAAGGCGCTCTAACTGGAGCCCTTCCCTTCTCTCCCCGGCCGCGCCGCGCTCCTCCCCTCGCTGTTGCCTCCTGTGGAAAGGGCTGTTCAGGGGGCAGGAGGCATTTTACTTTCGTTCCCCATACCCGGGCCTTTGGCAGGCAAAGATTGGGTGTTTTTTTGTTTTTATTTACTTAGATGTAAAGTATAAATAGAAACTAGCTAAATTCTAATGTATTTCTTTAAGATTTCATTCTGACTTGCTGTCAGTCTGATGGACTTACAAATTGATGTGCAAAGTACTTGTTGCTGTTCCAACACAGAAATATGATTTCTTTAATAAGAAATATAATTTCTTATTAAACAATTTTTAATAAGAAGTTGCTAAGCCAGAAATCTCCAAGTCCTAAAAAACAAAGACGAGCTGCCATGCTGGAACTATGAGGTGAGAGTGTCGAGTATCAGACCAGAAGAGACCTTAGGACCTGGCGGCAAACCCCTGTGGTGGGCGTCTCTCCCAGTGCTGAGCTGCAGCTGAGCTGTCTGCACAAAGCTGAGAGCCAGGAAGCATGCCCTCTGTGAAGTGAGGACTGGTGTCATCCTGGTCAATTGCCCAGGCTTTACCAGGGGACACAAGAATCACCAGTGAGAAATTAGAGGCCTCTGCACACACCACACGTGCAGGGGCAGGCTGAGTCGGCCCCCCTTCGTGAATGACAAAGCACTACTTCAGGACTCAGAAACCCACAGGCTGCCCTTAGAAGCTCGCTCAAAGCCACCTCCACGGAAATAGCACTCTCTGGAATTGAGCTCCTTAGAGAAAATTACAAATCACAAGAGGAAATAAGTGTGCACAGATTTTTCTCACTTATCCCATAGGACAGCAGAATAACCGTAAATCATCTGTCTGTGGCTTTTGGTTTTAGGTGTGGGATACTCTGCAGGAAGAGCCTCTGTGCAATTTCCGAGGACATCGAGGGCGACTGCTGTGCGTGGCATGGTCCCCCTTGGATCCAGACTGCATCTACTCAGGGGCAGATGACTTCTGTGTGTACAAATGGCTCACTTCCATGCAAGAGCACTCCCGGCCTCCTCAAGGTCAGTCAGAACTTGGAGCCCGTGAACGCTTGCCCACCTCTCACTCTCCCTTCCTCACGTTGCCCAGGCTCAAGCAAGGAAGACATTCATGCGAGTCCTTAATCTATTCGTGAAAACATAGGGCAGGAATCAAAAGTTCCAAGTCAAGAAATCAAAGGAAGGAAATCAAAGGAAAACTGGGCTCGTTCCGAGCTGAAGGAAGCTAGGGAGATATGTGACTCCTGTCGCTCTGAGACTTTCTTGGTTAAAACTGATGAAACGTGAATGAAGTATGTGGAGTAGACGGTAGTAATGCATCGGTGTTAATTTCCTGATGTTAATGTGCTGTGATGATGGAGATCATTTGTAGGGCCCACACTAAAGTATTCAGGGGTAATTGGGATGGTATTTATGATTTAACAAAATCCCCAAAGGGTCTGGCTTTGTTCGGTTAACATTCTGATAACGTAACTAAAAATCATGAAGGAAGGGAAAGGGTAAGACTGCCATCCGAGGAGAATAATGAGGGACTGGAGGTTGTCTCCTGGAGTGGGGTATTAACAAAGAATATGTATGTTACTCTCTTCTTTGTTTTTCTTTCATTGCGATTCCAATAGGCAAGAAGAGTATTGAATTAGAGAAAAAAAGGCTCTCTCAGCCTAAACCCAAGCCCAAAAAGAAGAAAAGGCCCACCTCGAGAGTGCCCGTGAAGCAGGACCTGTCTGATGGGAATGACGAAGAAGGCCTGAGGGAGAGTGCGGGGCCTGCTGAGAACGGCAGCGTGTCCGACCAGGAGGGCGAGGAGGAAGCCCCGGAGCCAGAGTCACCCTGTGGTGTCCCCGCCGCCGCAGTGGGTACGTGCCACGTCACTAACTCTCTAGGACTGAACAGTCATGACCAGTAAACAAAGGCCCTTGTTTAGTGTGAAACTTACGCCTCTGACCTACCTGGCTTCCCAGTTCCTTAAGTGGCATTTCTAGTGCCCTTGGAAACTACATTAGGTTTTTTTCAAAGGGCTCCTTTAAGCCTCTAAATACCTTTAAGGCATTAAAAGGGATTTAGTGGATGATTGGGGCAGAAATAGTGTAGTTCAGTAGGGAAACTTCTGATCACTTTGGGCTGGGTAAGCCCGTGGGACAGAGCAGAGCTGGGACTATATGCAGAAACGTACGCAGGAAAACTCGAACAATTTGACATCATCACCCACGTTTGTTGGAAGAAACCACTGTTCCTGACAAACGTCTGACCTGGGAGCTGCTGCCACCTTGGGAGTTGGTAGGGCTTTGCCTTCCTACTTAGGTTTATGCCTGTTTGTTTATTTGTTTGTTTGTTTGTTTGTTTTCCTGGAAAGATGTGCTAATTATGATTAAGTTCTTTCAGTCTGTTAAGCTATAGTTGTTAAGCTATAGTGATAGTCTCCAGATTTCTCACAAAACTGTTTTTCACTGGCTGGTAGCTCAGTTGGTCCCGGTCAGCCAAGGCTGTGGGTCTGATCCCCAGTTAAGGCTCATACAGGAGTGAGGGGAACGATGAACCGATGTCTGTCTGTCTCTCTCCCCCTCCCTCTCTTCCCCTCCCCCTGCTCCTTCCCCCTTCTTCCCCCCTCCCCTTTCCTCTCTCTCCAAAAATTATAAATAAAAAAATAAAACATTTTAAAACTCTTTTTCAGTATTCCATCACTGACTTCTAATAAAGCAGTCTACTAATTTGAAGGGAAAAAATGTCAATCAATAAAATTCTAGTAACTTAATTCTTTTATGTATTTACCTTAAAGCTCTAGTGCCTATACCTTTAAAATGAATGACTAAATAGCGAATAATGTAAATAGAAGCAGTGACTCATGTTTAATTCTAAAACCATATGCCGACGAGACAACATTAAAGTGGCCAGAAAGCATGGCACGGTCTGTGGGACCCGTGGTTTGGGTAGCTTGATGGATTATTTTTTAGGTTCATCAAAACACCTTTTTATCACAAAATGGCTGCACAGAACACACCCTTTACTCTGTAGATCACAGCTTGTTTTGCTTTGTTTTGAAGTTCATGGTTTGGTATGTTTAGGATTGTGACTCTGTATCACATACCCTCAACCTTTTTTCTGTTAGCAAAGTTCTTCCTTGTTTGTGTAATTAAAATGTAGTCAGTACTTTGTCATCTAAATATGTTAAAAGTCCTTTGTCACCTGAGCAACATTTGGGAACTCCTGGGCGTCTGGTACAAAGCTGTGGAGGCTGGACACTTACAACTTCTCAGGTCAGTCAGTCAGTTATAAGCAATAAATTTTTACAGAACCCTGGAAGGATTATAGAAGTTTGTGAGGTGGGAAAGACAGGGTACCCATGCCTCCTTTCCAAAGCACTTTATCTCATATTTTGGGTAACAGATAAAATTGCACCATTAAGCCTAGTATAGATCTTAATTTTTTAAAAGAATTAGATTCTACACTGTTCTTATCCAAACTTTCTCTTTTTTTCCTCTATGATGTAGTTTCTAGAGAACCAGTTATCTGCCCTCCAGTTTCCTTAGGCTTAGAAAAGCCAAGAGTCATCGTTAATAATAAAGTCACTTTACCGAAAAAAGAGCCGCCTAAAGACAAGCCAGGTTTGTATCTAATCATGGAAGTACTTTACTAAAGCCTCCTCAAATGTACCTGCAACTCAAACTCAGAAGTGGGGGGGGGGGTGTTAAATATTTCTGTTTTGATTATATCTCCATTGTGGGTCATGTTTATTAAACATTTGTTAGTACTTGATAAAGTGGTGTCTGCAGTTGTTGGTGCTGCTTCGTGAGTGTTCGCAGGGTCATGTGTGTGTGTGTTTGTGTGTGTGGTGAACACCGCCTCGAGCTGACTGAATTTAGAGGCGTCTTTACAATACCAGAGACTTCCCATCTACGCGTAGCAGCGCCCCTCCAGCACGTTACAGTCACACACTGGGCGTCCGGGGCATGTTTCCGATCAGCTGTCCTTAGTCTGTACTTGTGTTACTTTGCAGAAGCCTTGCTCAAGAAGCGCAAAGCCCGTCTCATACTTCCACTGAGTGCGAGCCTGGACCACAGGTCCAAGGAGGAGCTTCATCAGGACTGTCTGGTGTTGGCAACTGCAAAATACTCCAAAGGTACAAAAAGACACTTCCTGGGCCCATCCGTAGTCTTCTGGGAACCGGCACACAAGAGGTGCTTGTTCATTTGTTGAACGAACGTGCAAACAAATATCCAAACTCGTTTGTCTTCCTCCATTCTTTCCCAGCCTTCCCTTCCCCACATCCCACCGCTGGACTCCCCTTCCTAACCCGCTGCAGCCCTCAGAGCCTTCGGTATCTAATGCTGCTACGGTTGTAGGTCAAGTTCTAGCAGCCACGTGTGCCCTGGGACTGGCATGAGGGCTCACTGTCTCAGCGCCACTCAACAGTGTCTTCGTGTAGAAACAAAATTACTTGCTTACCAGAAATATACCATAAATGGCAGTTTCTTTAAAGAAAATTAATAAAGTTTTAATTTACAGAGGTTTTTTTTGTTTTAAAGCTCTCATCTAATGCTTATTATTTTATATTGGAGCAATTATATTTTTTTAATTTGTAATTGATGTTGAAAAGGGATATACATGATGGAATGAAATTCGAACAGCATGAAAAGAGAGTAAAACCCTCCGAACACCCCCTCTTCCATTTCTCCCCCGAGGCCACACCACCATCAGTCTCCTGTCTTCCTCCAGAGATGCTCCACGCTCTTACGGACAGAGCCCTCTTCTTGGAACTTTGTGATGAGTTCTTATAACTTACACAGTTAACCGCATAGTTTTTACATTATGTCCCTTATTGGAAAATTACGCACTTGACTTTTATAAACAGAGAATGAATTTTGAATCCCTTTGTGGTAGATCCTAGTGAACATTAAGGGCATTTCTTTACTTGTCAGGGGGTTTTTTTGTTTGTTTTGGATTTTACTGCATGTAAATACATGTTAAATTTTGGATTAACTTTTTATGTTCCTTTTTTTCCCCCCTAAAAAAATCTTTCCTTGAGCAAACTATAAACTAAATTGTCTCATTGGGCTGGCCCAAGCTAAGCTTGACAAACAGGAGGCATTTTCATATTTTGCTGCCTTCACAACCAGCAGGGGTCTCTCTAAGAGCAAACAAAGGCACAGGACTCTTTCTCAGGATCTCAAACTGCTGTTCTGGGTGTAACTTTGGGAAGTAATTAGAAGACAGTAACGTATGTACTCACTTCATCTGATTACTCTGTCTTTTTGAATTAACAGAACTAAACGAGGGTGTGTCTGCTGATCTGGAGGAAAGAGTCCACCTGGGGCTGTTCACAGACAGGGCTGCCCTGTACAGAATGATGGAGGCTGAAGGTGAGGCAAGTCCCGTCCACACGGCCCCTCCATCTTTATGGTTCCCGAATGCGTTTATTTTTGTTGTTGACACTGTTGCAGCCGTCCCCATTCCCCGAAGCTCTGTACGTATGTCTTCTGTGGCTGCCATCCAGTGGCCTTGTGATGGTTAGTTGTGCATGTTGACTACCTAGGTTTTGAGCTCCCCAGTCTCATGCTCACAGATGCTCACAGATCCCTTGTTGTCTGTCACCGGACCTTAACCATACAGTGTCCACTCTGAGTGACCAAGTGCACAAGTGACTGAGTGGGCTTCGGGCCCCATTATGAACACTCTGGGAAGCGACTTGCCCAGCAGCGAGTGGCTACATATTGTAGGAATTTGGTCCTCTCTTTCATCCTACCTTTTTGTAGAAGTTAGCATAGACAGAAGTTTCTGAAGCACCTTCCAAACATTATCTCTCCTCCAAACAGGAAAGGGTCACTTGGAAAACGGCCACCCCGAGTTATTTCACCAGCTCATGCTTTGGAAAGGAGACCTAAAAGGTGTTCTCCAGACTGCGGCAGAAAGAGGGGAGCTGACGGACAGTCTCGTGGCCATGGCACCAGTCGGTATGTTCTTTTCAGCAAAATCCCTGTCATCGTCAGGATGTGCCCACTAATGGCAGACGATGTCTCAAAGGGTAATTCGGCCACACCTCATATATTAACCTGCACATGACCCTCGACTCAGCCATTCCAATTGTAGGGACTTCACTGCATTCACACGTGGAAAGTGACATATTTATCGACTACTGTTGCAGCATTATTTGTGATAGCAAAAGAGTGCAACAACCTCTGTGTCTGTCAGTGGGACACCACCTACTTCTACACAGTGGAAACTCAGGAGCTGCACACACCTTTGCGACCAGGACCCTTAACCGACAAACAGCACTGCCAGCACCCAGGGGGCTTCCCTCGTGCGCCACCTCATTCAGTGTCCACACACCCACACGGGCAGCTGCCCTCCTGATGTCCACACTTTTTATACCTTTTGAGTTTTGTGTGTGTTACATAATAAAAGAATTTATGTTTCAAAATGCTGGTGTCGGGGAGAGGTAGGTGAAGCAAATGATCTATAAAGGCAGTTGAGGTATCCAAATTTTCCACTTAATACAGTGACTGAAAAGGTGTTTCCAACCCAAATGTACCTATGTACATGTTTTTTCCCCTTAAACCTGCTTCTTATTTAACCACCATTTTTCTTTTCTTTTTTATTTAAAGCTGGCTACCATGTGTGGCTGTGGGCTGTGGAAGCTTTTGCCAAACAGTTATGTTTCCAGGATCAGTATGTCAAGGCTGCCTCTCACCTGCTTTCTGTCCACAAAGTATATGAAGCTGTGGAGCTGCTCAAGTCAAACCATTTCTACAGGTCTGTGAAGCCCCTACCGTAGCTGAGCCAACAGTTGGACACAATGTGAAATGAGTCTCCTTAACAGGTCTAACGTAAAACCTTGTGGTCAGTAAACATGTGAGATACACAGAAGCACAGGTATGCTAGCATAAGAAACATCGGTGTACCGACCACCTCTGCTTACCATCTGTTAACTATAATCAGTATCTGCCACTAATCTTTTTTTTATCTACTTTACTTTTGTAAACTGTGGGGGAGCTCTGCTTCCCCCGCCTGTATCAGCCACAGATGAGACTGAGTCTGCCAAGACGTGATCTGTTTGGGGAGGAAAGGTGGCCAATCTCTCAGAGAAGGGCCAGGAGCCTGTTCCTCAGTGGGCTTTTATTGGATTTATTTTGGATAGGAATACAGGGCATACACATAAAGCTCCTCAATCATTGTCAAACAGTAATGATCAAACAATAGATGACATTCAGAGAACTCTGAGGGCTTGTTCTGAGTCAGGGTCAGATAGTTAAAGGGCCATAAAACTTAGGGGAAACAAACTCATTTCCTAGTTGGACCTTTATTTAAATTGAGGGTATTAGCAAAGTAGGTTTCATAGGATTTTATGCATTCTTTCTTAGGCCTGATTGCCCCAGGGAACCCACCCTTTCCAGCACAGGGCCATACCCACTTCCACCATTGTTTCGGGTTTAAGGCATTGTTTCAGGTTTAAGTCAGGCAGGGGAAGTAAGGCAGCCAAGAGATTAGGAGACTCCTTGCAGACAGAATGAGGACTTAGGCTGTGTCAAAGCCAAGGGGCAAGGGTTCATCACCCCTTTTTTTCTCTAGGGCCACCCCCGCCCCGTCCTTCCCTGAGGGCCCCTTCATGACCATGCCTGTCTTAGGTCATCTCTCCTCTGAGGAATCTTGCCCATCGTTGGCTAACCAGTCATCCACCTGGGGCCAAGCAGGGTGAAGTGAAAGGGGGCAGAGGTGGTGCCCCTTCAAGGAAGATAAGCTTTGTCTCCTTAGTGGCTATGGTCCCAGGGTCTTTTTACTCAGCCTTAGCCAGAGGGGTTACAGCTTCTGAAACCAGGCAGGGTGCTTCCCAACAATAAATGTCTTAACCATGTCTATTACTTCAACACAAATAGAGAAGATAGTAAGAGACAAATGGAGAGCTTAGTGAATTATTAAAAGAGGAACTCCCGTTTTAAGTTGCACATCTGAAGAGACAGAATTTCCCAGCTACCCCAAAAGTTCTCCATATGCCCCAGCTGTTGGTTTTTTAAATATAACGCTCCAGATTTAGTTGACTTGATTTACCCAATTCTGTCCTCAACCCTTTTCTAGAGGTAACCAGTCTCCTGAGATTGGTAGAATCCTTCCTGTCCAAGTTACTATTCTTCCACAACAGTACAGTCATGTACTGCTTAACAACAGGGGAAATATTCTAAGAAACATGTCGTTGGGCAAGCTCATCGTTGTGGGAACATCATAAACGCATGCACACAAACCTAGGTGGTGTGGCCTACTACACACCTACTAAGGCTATGAGGTTCAGCCTATTGCTCCTAGGCTACAAATCTGTGTCACACATCACTGTACAAAACACAAGATTAGATCAAGCACAAGAAAAAGTGGTGCAAGGTAAGCACCAGATGTTGGAGACGGCACGTGTAACATGGCATACTGTTTTAAGTAGAACGAGCACACTTTAAAGTAGTAATAGGAAGAGCCGCGTAGTAAATACCTAAGCCGGTAACACAGTTGTTTACTTACCATCACTGTCAACTACTGTGCCCCGTACAGAACCGCGTCTGCTGCACTTCTGTGCAGCTGGCAGTGCCGCGGGCTTCTTCACAGCAGCGGGCCCTCGAACCTGGGAGGGATGCGCCGCGCTGTGGCTCCGTGACGGGTGTCTGTCTGCCCGCATACATGTCTCCGGCACTTTTCGTTCCCTCGCGTGGACCCAAGTTTCCAGTGGCTCTCAACTCCTTCGCCTAAACAACTTCAACAGTTTTTCTGCAGTGTAGTTCTGATGACACATGCCATCAGCCATTCTCTTTCGGCACCTCACAACTGTCTTTTCCTCTTGGTTTGCATCATTTTTTACTTGACTGCATTTGCCCTTTTTTTAATTCAATTCATTGGTTAATACTATTACGTGGTAATACAGCATCTGTGTACTCCATCGTGTACTCTGCTTCCGTGCATTTCCACGTGTTTGACCCACTTTGCCCTCTTCACACCCCCCCCATCTTTGTGACGCAGGAACTATGTCTTTTTTCTCTGTTTTTAGTACTTTCTCCCTCACTGATTTTCAGCCATTTTAGCCACTTGATATGATGGCTTTGGTGAGGCTCTTTTTGTTTATCCTCTTTCCATTTGAGTTCCTTTAGAGCACTGATCTTTTCATGGCTTGTTTGGAAGCTTTCCTAGGACAGGTTTAGACGAGTCCATACTCGGGGTTTAATTTGCCCTCCTGCCTTCTGGTGTCTTTCCTTGAATGTCCTGTATGCTGGGCTGGCGAAAACCTGAAAGTCCCCAAGCCCTGAGCAAGCTCTGGGAATCATTCCCCAACTGTTCTTTATCCAGCCTTAAGGAGTCTCCTCCACACGCAAAGATGGCGGCGTCCCCAAGCGGAGTTCTGGGGCTCCTTCTCTGGGCAGCCCCGTCCCTCCCCTCAAATCCCAGTCTCTGCTTCTCTCCTCCACGCAGAGAGACTACCGAGGCTCCGCGGGGGCTGCCTGCCCGTAGGTGAGTGGCTTTAAGAAGCCACGGCAGTGCTCGCATCATTGGCTCCCTTCTCACTGGATGACAGTCCCGCACTGCCTGGTGCCCAGTATCTGAAAACAGTTGTTTCACACGTGTTTTGTCCAGTTTTTTGTTTCATGGCTAGAGGGTTAAGCCTGGTCCCTGTTACTCCATCAGGGCTAGAAGTCGAGGCCTCAAAAGACCTCTTAAATGTTGCTCTGTCACCTTCATCTAAACTACCTGCAGCTGCAGGAGTTTTATGTCATTTGGAAAATATTGGTTCACTGAGTTATATGGTTCTCCAAATGTTAACATTTCATTACAAAATGTCAAAAAAGATCGCATTCCTTAATATCAATCTCGTCAGAAACGTCTTTAACTTTTAAGAAGCTGTCAAACCCACAGTGGCAGGCGCAAGTTTTTAAAGTTCTAATTTTCACTTGAAAGCTCACATTTTATCACTGGCAACAATACTTTTGGTTGTTCTCTCTGCGAAGGGACAGGCTTATTCAGTTCATTTTTGAGAAAAACCCCGTGAAATACCCAACACTGAATAACTATCCTTCGTTCAGTAGTGATTCTTTCAAGAAGTGATGAGGTTCCATGAAACAAAAGCAGGTAGTCCAGCCTCCAGTTCATTCATGCAAGTCTTTCCCAGAGTCACCCATCCTACTTTATAATGCAGGAAAGAACACAAAATGCCCCTCCCACTTTGTCACACAGAGTATCAGAAAGGCCTGGGCTTGCCCTGGTGTGGCTCAGCTGGTTGGAGCACCGTGCCATACACCAGAAATGTAGGGGGTCCGATCCCTGGTCAGGGCACATACAGGAGGCAGGTGACCAATGTTTCTCTCTTACTTCAATGTTTTTCTTTCTTCTCTCTGCCCTTCTTCCCCTTTCTCTCTAAAATCGATAAATATCCTCAGTGAGGATTTTTTTAATTGCTTGACGGACTTAATCAAAGGAATCATTTGTACTGCTTTGTCGAGGACCTCGGCCTTTCTGTTCTAAAGCTACAGAGGGCTGCCGCCCTGAGTCGTGCGCAGATGCCAGCACCTACCCACCACTGCACGTGCACAGTCAGTACAGATGTCAGCACAGTGAGAAACGGCTGGTAACCCCTTAGCGTCGTTATTAGCGTCTTTAAAATATTTATTTCTAGAGAGAGGGGAAGGGAAGGAGAAAGAGGGAGAGAAACATCAATCGGTTGCCCCTCACACGTCCCCAGCTGGGGATCTGGCCTGCAACCCAGGCACGTGCCCTGCCCAGGAATCAGACTCACGACCTTTTGTTTTTCGGGACGACGTCCAGCTCACTGAGCCACACCAGTCAGGGCTAAGATAGTTTTGGCCCCAATCCTCTGAAAGGGCCTCGAGGACCCCCAGAAATCCACAGCACTGCTGAGGGGAAGAACTTGAGCACAGCGTGTGGTTTTAGCTTCCCGTGTATGCAGGAACACCGTTTTTTACGAGAAGTTGGAACAACACAAAAGGGACAGCTTGTGCCATCCTGCAGCCCCTCCTAGGAACCCGTTACAAAGGAGCCTTTTCAGACTGGCCGATTGTGTGCTCTTTCCTCTAGAGAGGCCATTGCGGTGGCCAAGGCCCGCCTGCGCCCAGAGGACCCAGTCCTGAAGGACCTGTACCTCCGCTGGGGAGCCGTCCTTGAAAAGGACGGCCATTATGCCGTAGCAGCTAAATGGTAAGCCTCAGAGAGACAGGAGTGCACCCAGACACAGAAGAGCAGGATGAGAACAAAAGGGGTCAGCTTAGAGGTGGATGTAAAAGTGACTAGGAAATTAAAAAGCATGAGTATGAAGCCTAGTTGTGTAACACTCATTGAGATCTACCACCATAACTATTCAAGAAACCCCAGTATCAGTAAGAAATTAAACCTTTCTCCAGGGAGGTCTTGTACCATCAAGAAAAATGGGAGGGAGGGACTCGTTTGCTTGGGTTTGGTTCAGCAAGCATTGCGATCCCTGTATGTGCTTAACCCACATCATGCTCTCGTTCCCTGATGCGCTGGTCTCTAGTCAAAGGCAGACGCACGTGGGACCACAGGAAGGCACATGAGTTGAGAAAAAGCCAGTAGAAAGAAATCATTTGACCCTCTGGGGAGGAGTAAGAGATCTGTTTATGATACTTTGTTTGAGTTTTCTTTTGTTTTGTAGCTATTTAGGAGCTGCTTCTGCTTACGATGCAGCCAAGGTTTTGGCCAAAAAGGGGGATGCAGCATCACTTAGAACGGCCGCGGAGCTGGCTTCAGTCGTGGGAGAGGATGAGTTGTCTGCTTCCCTGGCTCTCAGATGTGCCCAGGAGCAGCTTCTGGCCAGGAACTGGGTGGGAGCCCAGGAAGCCCTGCAGCTCCATGAAAGTCTGAAGGTCAGTCTGTTGTGGCATCTCCTGATATTTAAGAAGGGCCCCAGATCGTTTTCTCCCTGAACTCCCAGTGAATAACCCCGTTGCACAAGCTGTACCGATTTGGCAGGTGTCCTGGATATACCGTCCCACGAAGGTACCGTGGCTTGTCAGTTGCTAGATGCAGAGTAGGAGATGATGTGGTCATTCCCAATGATTCCCATTGCTTAGCAGTTTGTGTACAACATCCATGAACAGACTGGCCAGCTCGGCCCCTCCCTGGGCTGGCAGTCTAGTGTTTGGTCACTGGTGCCACCGGCACATGGCCGAAGAGGGAGGGGACCGGCCTCCCACAGAAATCGCAGGCTCTGCCTGCAGCGCCCCTCTTCCGCTGCATGCCTTGAAGTGTGGTGAAATCGAAACATTCCGCTAAATGTTTTGTTCCCGTTTGGTGGAAAATGAGTAACTTCCTCTGCCATTTGACACCTCAAAACTGAGATGACTTTAGAAGCCACGGCACACTCACCTAGTTTCCAAAACGCAAAAACATTTGGTCCACGTTAGATGACTTTGCTTTGTCTGATACCAACATGAACTTTTCTTGGTTCCTCTTTCCCTTATGGAGTCACAGAGCCTAAAAATAGTTCCTAGCTGAATATTCCAAGCCCATGAAAAATGCTAGGTGAGGAAGTAGATTTCTGGGAACCACAAAATAAAAAAGGAAGCAAAAGTAACACACCCTCAAAGATAGTGTCGCTTGGTATATTATTTACAAAATGACCAAATCTAGAGAAATTTTAATTTATCCACAACAAAAAGTTTCCGGGATGGTCATTTAGCCATTTCTTATTCTGCTCCTAAACAACATCCTTAACAAACCAAGTAAACCTGTAAGTCTATGTGAAGTGTTCTGATAAGGACTATTTTGGTGGTATGGAATGGAGACTTTCCCAAGCTTAACTGAGAAAACAGTATTTATAGGGATACACAAGGAATCTCACGGCCAGTAAAAATCCAGCAAAAACAAAGATTTTTCCAGGCCTTGCACTGTGTTTCTCTTCTCTTTCAGCCAACTCCCTCTCTTAAACCTATTGGGACCTGGCCCCTAACTACCGCCCCAGCTCAGAGATGCACAGTCTGTTTGCTCCAGTGCCTTCTGCCCACTGGGCTCTTCTCTGTATTCCTTAATGTCGAGTTTGGGCAAGGGGAAGACAGATCCAGCACAAATCTTGGCTGATCTGTATGTGGCTTAAGTTGTGGTTGGTAGGGCTCTCTATCATTGGGGTTCCATGTTATAAAAACAGTTGTTTGGGCTCCAAGGGTATGGCTAGGAATTCTTCCAAAAGATATCTGGGAAAATGTCTGCTGGAGCACCTCTTTCCCCTTACACACGACTCCCCTAAGGGGAACTGTCTAGATAGCCGAGCACTTTCCCTGCATAACGGTTCCTCTGCTTTGTTGTCGGGTTCCAGGGTCAGAGACTGGTGTTTTGCCTTCTTGAGCTACTCTCTCAGCTCCAGGAGGAAAGGCAGCCATCTGAGGGCAGAAGCTCTTCCTCTTACAACGCCTGGTCCACGCACACCGAGGGGCCCCTCACAGACAGGGTGACTGCCATATGGAGGAACGCCTTCGGCCTGGACACCCCAGAGCAGTGTCAGGCGGCACTGCGGCAGCTGCAAAGTATCCAGTACCCATCTGCTACAAATAACACTCCCTCCAAACAGGTACCCATATGCGTGAGCTTTTGGTATTAGTCACTCACTTGTAAGAGTTCCTTAATCCGTGTCTAGTATAATAAGGAAAGAAGACCAACACCAGTCTGCATTTCAGAAAAGACTAAGGCAGGCCCAGGCAACCTGGAAAAATCCCTTTTAGACTAACTAAAGCCCTTTGGCTTTGAGTTAGATTTAAGTCAGCATTCCCTCTTAAAAGTGAAAAAGAAGTCTAAAAATACAGAAAAGCAAAGAACATCAGTACCTATCAACTAGAATTAACAGATGTTCATATTTTGTCACTTTTGCTTCATAGTATTTGGGGGTTAGTTTTTGTTTTTTTGTTGTTTTCTGGTAAAGGAAGTACAGCCCAGCGGACTGCCCCAGGCTGTCCCACCCCCTTTGCTTTGCCCAGGCACCAGAGGCAGCCGCGTCAGCCCGTGTGCGAGTTTGCACCTGGCTATTGCAGTGAGCGTTGTCTGTAAGATCTATGGGTGTTGATGCAAAGAGACCGAACTGATTCATTATAACTACTCAACCCATCCTATGAATTACCTCGATTTATCTACTTCTTCTTTGAAAATGAAGGAAATGAATTCATTATATTGATGAATGAGACTTCATCAAACAGTGTACCACTTTGGAAAATAGTTTGGCAGTTTCTTAAAAACATTCATGTACCCAATGACCCAGCAATCCCAAAAGAAACGAAATTGGGGTCCACACAGACTTGTGCACAGATGTTCATCATTACAGCTTAGTTCACAGTAGCCAGAAACTAGGAACAACCCAGATGTCCATCAGCTGGTGAGTGGGTGTGCAAGCTGTGGCACAGCGTGCAGTGGACTACTATACTGTGCCGCAATAAAAAGGAACAAATTCCTGGTGCACAAATATGTCAGTGAGTCCTGAAAGCACTGGAAGTGAAAGAACCAAGGCAAAAAGACACTCGACAGTTCCATTTATGTGCATCCTATAACAGACAAAACTACAGTGGGGAAGACCAGATCAGGGGCTGGGGGGAGGGCACTGTGACTACGAGGGAACAGAGGGGAATGTTGTACAATGGTGAAACGTCCTGTGTCTTGATTTTGGTTGTCGTTACAGCATATATATCAATCTAGTGTGTATTTGTGAAAACCTGTCAAATTCCTCACTAAAGTTGATAAAAACTTTTAAGTTATACCCCAGGTTTGCTTCTTGTTGTGGTTTTAAATTACAGCCTTTAGTTCCAGAAGCTCACTTTTTTGTTTTAGTTAAATGCAGATGTCAAAGTGTTTCTTACACAAGCAGACTTTAACTCGGACAGTGTGTGTTTGCAAAGCAACACGCTTTGCACTCAGCTATGAAAGTTGCAGATGGGGAAGCAAAAATGGACAGCGGAAGGAGACCTTTCTGAAATGTAGGCTGTGTGCACTTCTGTCCAAGTGCAGCTAACAGAAAGGTTTCTGGTGTTGTCCTGGTGCTTTCTGTGGGAGGCGGCTTAACTGAGGCTCTGGCTTCTCCCTCCAGCTCCTGCTTCACATCTGTCACGACCTGACCTTGGCAGTGCTGAGCCAGCAGATGGCCTCCTGGGACAAGGCTGTGGAAGCACTGCTCCGGGCTGTGGTCCGGAGCTACGACTCAGGGAACTTCACCGTCATGCAGGAAGTGCACTCAGCCTTTCTTCCTGAGGGTAAGTGGCCCCCACACCAATGAAGGGAGGGCACCGGAGTGCAGAGGTTACTGGCCAGTTGTGTCACTTAGTAGAAAGTATGAATTCCTCTACCTAGGCACTAAGAGGTAGCCAGAATGGCTGCGCTGTTTTCCTCTACCTGGCCCGACCTGCCTTACTGCCTCCTACTTACTTTCCTACACAGTGTAAGAGCAACAGAAGTAGCACTGTGCTCACGAGTCACCAAGACTGGAGGAGCGCAACAAAAGGTAGACATTCCTTGAGCTGCATCATTAGTCACTGAACTAAATCACAAACACATTAGGATCCCCAGAGCCTTCGGGAGGACAGATTGAATACTTTTCCTGTTGTGCTCTGACTGACTTGTAGCCTGTAGCAACAGGAACATTGTCCTAAGCCAGGAAGTGGCCGGCTTCGGGGGGACAGCACGTGGTCCCATGGACGGCGGCGGTCCTTTCCCTTGGAGTCTGCCTCTTAGGGGAAAGGAACCAACATGCAGGAAGGAAGGCAGAAATCCAGCAGAGACAGAAATGCACAACCCTGAGTCCTTTTCTTCTTTTCCCAGGCTGTGACCACCTAAGAGACAAGCTGGGTGACCATCAGTCCCCTGCCACGCCAGCTTTAAAGAGTTTGGAGGCCTTTTTTATATATGGACGTCTGTATGAGTTGTGGTGGTCTCTCTCCCAGCCTTGCCCCGAATCCAGTGTCTGGGTGAGGACAGCTCACAGAAGGACAAGCTCTACTGAACAGTGCCAGCCATCGGGCGACGCCAGCCCTGAAGCAGGTAGCCCCTCCGCTTCTCAGCCAGAGCCCAGCAGGCCTCCAGAACTAGACAGGGGACTCACTGAAGAAAGTGAGCGGGTGCTGAGCACTTGCAAGGAGCTCTTTTCAGAAAAGCACGCCAGTCTCCAAAACTCACAGAGAACTGTTGCTGAAGTTCAGGAGACCTTGGCAGAAATGATCCGACAACACCAAAAGAGTCAGCTCTGTAAATCCACAGCGAATGGTCCTGATAAAAATGACCCTGAACAGGCAGCAGAACAGTCTCTCTCTAGTCCTCAGAGCCAGGGGTGAGTACCGAGTCCCTACAAGATGGGGTAAAAATACCCTGCTGGCTTCTCCTACAACCAGGTGAAAATCCGTGTGTGAAGAGATGGGCCAAGACACTTGAAAGCAACATCACACAGTGATGAACGCACAGGCTTTGGAGCCAAATGGGGGTTCTCATCCTCGCCTCTCAGTGACCTCAGGCAGGAGTCAGTACCTGTGCGCGGCAGTTCCCTCACCTGCGAGTGGAGGCCCAGCTCCTGCCCTGCTTGTCTGAGAGTTAAACGAAATTTCAAATGTTATTAATAATGGTAATATAGTAAATCCTACCTTTGTACAATAAGGAGATTCCAGAAAAGCCCACTCATGTAAAATGAGTTGTATTATTGCATCATTCATGAAAACCACTGTTTTTCAGTTGTTCTGTACTATCACAAAAAAGACACACAGAGAGTGGTGTACAGAACACCTCGCTGAAGTGAGATATCCAAGTGACTGGAATGTTGTAGAACCCTAACCACTTCCACTGAAAACAGGGACCAATGGATGGCAGGAGCCCGTCCCCGGGCTCTGTAGATAGAGCGCTCAGGATCACAGGGCACTCTGCCACGGTGTTTGCAGTGACTGGCAGCTACTGATTGGTTATTGTGATGAGAGCCTTTTACCTTATGTCCCCCATCAGAGGGCCTAAAATAGAGTCACTAAAACAATGGATAAACTTACAGCTGTTACTACTAACTTTATAGAATCCAAATTAAGCTTTGAAGCCTTTATATTACTTGCTCTAAAAATACTCCCACTGAAATTTTGAGTCAGAGTTTTGAGTTACTTCTCCAACAAGCGTCCACACTCTAAGCAGCTTTAAGTTTGGTTTTAACAAGAAAAACACTGGGAAGTTCTCTCACCCAGCAGCTCTTAACCTTTGGATCACAGGACCTGAGAAGCTTAACACACTCTTCCCAGAAAAACATGCATCTGTACACTCCCTGGGTCAGAGCCCCGGCTCTGTCTGACCATTCCCCAAATAAACCTAGGTCACCTAGGCCGTCTGCTCTTGGCTGCAGGTTGAATCACTAGGGTCCTATATTTTCATGGGAGCTCTGTTTCTAAGAGGTGGGGATTTTGAAGATGATAGGGAATAATACTGCATTTTGAAAGCTTCATGTCATTTCACATTAAAGTGCCTTCTGTTGAACTTCATACTTAAAGATGGGAGATAAAGACCCAGGTGACCAAGGAGTTTTATTTATAGATAATAGTTAAAAGTTACCCAAGGAAAGATATAGTGACTTACTCTTTTTATTATTATTTACTAGTAAAGAAGCAAAGAATGAGCCAGTTTCTCTGCCTGAATTAACCAAAAGGCTTACGGAGGCGAATGAGAGAATAGCTAAGTTTCCCGAGAGTGTGAAGGTAAGATTTATAGCAATTCATTTGGTAACACATTACTTTGTGTATTATCAGCGACTGTACCAAATTCTTGAAGGTCATCTACTTTTCTGTTCATTTTCTGAAATCTTTACGCATTTGTGTGTGTGCTTAAAATGTTAGGGTCCAGTGGTCTTTGGTTAGCTAAAACGTCTTGTGAGAGTAGAATTATTGACAACGCAAGCAATTTTGAGAAATGTAACAAATTCTGTAATTGGGAGGTAGTAGAAATAAAGTTGCTGCCTTGTATTTGACAGCAGTATTCAGATGGATGGGTATATTTGGATGCGGCCCTAGTAATAATAGAAACAGGGCCTTTTCAATGAATTGGCGTCAAGCTCTAGAAGAAGGTTAGGTTGTATTTGTTGGAGAAGGACGTCCCAGCAGCCAGCCCAGGTTGGAGTGCCCTCTCTCTGCAGAGAACAAGACATTGCTCCAGGAATGGTTCACCTGTGCCTGAGAAGTGTCAGTAGATGAGGCGTTGAGTTACAAGTGCCTGCTGGGCAGGTGTCTGTGGCTCTTCTGCAAATGCTTCCTTGTTTCATTTTTGTGTCATCTTTCAGACCTGGCCCTTCCCAGATGTGCTGGAGTGCTGCCTCGTCCTGCTGCACATCGGGTCCCAGTGTCCCGGCCACGTGACCCAGGAAATGCAACAACAGGCCCAAGAGCTCCTTCAGAAATACGGCAACACTAAAGTTTACCAAAGACACTGCCAGACCTTCTGCACGTGAACTTTCAAGGACCTTTAAGATAAACTGTGCCAAATTCAAAACGTCTGACACCTTCCCGTTCTGCCAGACATTCGCTCTGATCCCTAGATGTTTTTGTAATGACCCAAATAATACAAGATGAGAGTCAAGTTTGAATCAACTGTACACTTAAGACACAGTAGAATCTGACTTTGGACTCACTTATGGTTTCCTACTGAAGGACGTTGAAAGCCAGCAGCAGTTATTTGAACTAATACCTGCAAGAGTGATTGTTGATCATCTCTAAAGCCTTATGTAGGTTTCACCCAAAGAGGAGAAACTTGTAATCACCCAAAGCATTATGTTCTTACACACAAGCTACCTTTACAAATGCTCCCCAATCGTAAACATGCCATTCTTGTTCGAGATAGAACTGCTGCAGTTTTTGACTACTGGTATCATCTTTTCAATTGTGTTTAACTTGGGCTCTCCCCTCTACTGCTACTCGTACTCATTGTGAAATAGGCCTTACCCATCATGTTGACTCTTTACCCTCTGTCTGAACTTGAGGTCAAAAATTTGGTTTTCTTGTTTCACTTACTAAAGTGTTAGAAGAACAAATAATTCAAATATGTCTTATCCCTTAGGTTTTACTGGTGATCAAAATAGCTCAGGAAGAAATGACTGTTGCAGTTTTTCTTAATGTTTTTGGGATCACAGGACCCTTTGAGATTAGATTGAAGCCACAGATGATCTTTGAAGAAAAATGCACATTGCTTCCTAATTTTGTACATGTAAGTTTTGGATCATTGGACTCTGACTTTTGGATCACTGTGTAATGGGACCCTACATACTGTTTAATTACAAGTCCTTGTTTTGGTGGGTTTTTGTTTTGTTTTTTGGCTAATAAGCATTCTTTTGAGGTCTGTTCTTCTCTTTGGTTATGTAAATAGTGGTTATACGAAGTCAGAAACAGACATTCCCATAACATCGCAGTGGCTAGGACTTACTTATTAGTTTGGCGGGGGTGAGAGGGAGCGCGTTTTCCCAATGATGGGAAGTATTTTCTTTTGTAATTCATTGTGAAGGCTTTTCTATTTAAGTGTCCAGTTTATTTTTCAGTTTTTTCCCTAGGGTTGGGATTACTGTGGGCAGCACTAATGAAATTCACTAACAGGAACTCTCTAGGAAGGAAAAGGTTTAAGAGGCAGCTGTAAAGAATGTGACTTACTGGTTGGTTGTTTTAGACCTAGCTTTAGAATTTCAAAATTCTAAACTCAAAAGTGAAAATACTGATCGATCCTCATAGTTCTTTATGGAGTTAAATCTGCTCTAGGAAGAAGATGGTTGTTAGTAGGGGCTAGAGAACCTTCTTGATAGCAAAGATATAAATAGACATGACGAAGCAGACAACCAGCTACTAGTGCTACAGTCTTTGCTAAAATGGACAAATGCTTCTCTTGCAGAGATGTAAAAACATTCCCTTTCACTTGAGTAAAGAGCAGTACATATTCTTCAAGTAGAAATTCTAACCTTTGTGGTTTACCAAAACCACCACCTGTCTGTTTTATCCTTGGCTGTTACTGCCTTGGTGAGAACAAGAATTAATACTTGACAACTAAGCAATAAAACTACCCAACAGCATAAAATAATAAATCTCACAATTCTATTTCCTTTCAAACTCCTCTCTTTCCAATACTATGTAATATACTCAAGCTACTCTAATTTAAATAAATGGTTTTTATTTCTATCTCTATAATTATCAGAACCCCAAAAAGCCAAAGTACTGAGTTCATTCAAACTTTCTGAGTGGATAAAATATATCATCAACTAAAGAAAAAGTTTTGGTCCTTTACCCCATCCAAAGTAAATTTTCTTTTAAGGATGTTATTTTCAGAGAAAGAAGGGAGGGAGAGAAACATCGACCAGTTGCCCCAGCCCACGACCCAGGCATGTGCCCAGACGGAATTGAACTGGCGACCCCTTCGTTCACAGGCCGGCGTCCAATCCACAGAGCCACGCCAGCCAGGTCCATCCAAAGTAATTTTAAAGGCCTCTAATACAAACCACCATCTTACCCAGATGACTACATTCACCTCCCAATACGCTACATATGTACTTGCCTAATAATTCTCCGTTTTTTAATATACCAATGACTTCTAAATTGCACACCAAATCTTGTCAATACCATTTGAGGGGGGGCGGGCAGGGAAGTACTTTCCCACTGCTCCTGGGGGGAAAAAGGTCACCTTGAATGTGGCTTATGAGGTCCTGCTGGATACCAACCTTCATGTCTTGGACATCTGTCAAGATACTCTCATCCTTGCTCTAAGTTATAGCCACACTGGTCTCCTAATTGCTAAAACCCACCAAGTAAGTTCTCTCGTCATCTCGGGTTTTGCCCCAACCCACTCTTACTGATAATCTCTTTGGTCTCAGCTTCAATGGCCTTTCTCCAAAAAAACTGTCCCTGAACCTCAAACTCAAGAACATCAGTGTCCTATATTTCACAGCTCACAAACTGTATTTTTGGTAACTATTTACAATCTGGTAACACAGGTAGACTGCCAACTCCAGTGAGGATACAGACATGTTTTCTACGTGCTGTTTTATCTCTAGCGCCTACTTACAATATCTAGTGGAAACTTGTTAAATGAGTAAATTATGAAATTGAAAGAAAACTCATTAATAGCCTGTACTTTGAAGTCTCTGAACTGAGCTCATTCACACCAGCACTAGCTGACGAGGCTTGTGGTTGGTATTGAACTTTGCTGGGTTAGCCAAACTTCAAGAACCTCTGGCAGTGTATGTGGAGGAGTAGTTACACCCACAGTTAACATTCTCCCAGCTCATCTTCAGGAGCATCCTTCAGGAGGATGCTTCAGGAGCATCCTGCACATAACCACTCACACAGCCCTGCACACATCCATACACAAGGCAAAGTTCCTGCCAGTTCCAATGTACTTGTGCCCTTTCTTTAGCACTTTAATAAGCTCTTATCTCTACAAAGCAACACTGAATTACTCAACACTTCATCTGAAAGTTTCTCCTGACAAGTCAGCAAGTCGGCCCTCAACTGTGGCAAAGACGATTCCTATTTTAATTCCCATCTGGAAAGACATCTGTTCAGAAATCAGTCACCCACATACCAAAGCACCTTGGCTGAAAGCCACCAATCTATGCTGCTTTTACCGCAAATCTTAGTAAAAAATATCTCACATTCTGTAAGTGAACATGCCAGTCAACATCCTGGATCTCCTGTACCTCACTTCTTACAACCCCCCATTTTTTTGTGCCAATAGAAAGGGCTAGAAACTAAGTTCTGAGGATATCAGAAGTTCAATTTGTATACAAGAATTCCACTAATTAACAAGCTAATTCACCATACATAACGAACTGGTCATCCCAAATAGTTAAAGCTGGTTTCCAAGAAGGTCCAACAATAAGCGGTGAATGTGAAGCGATGATTCCATTTACACAGCTGCTCATTAAAAGTTTCCCTTTGGGAAATGGAGGCAAGAGTTTGGGGGCAGACAAAACACTTCTGACAAAACACTTCTGTTACTGACAGCAAACGTCTATTTCTAAAGCCGGAAATTCACAGCTATGAAAGACCAAACCTTCATGCCAATGGTTAAAAAGAAATCTTTATTATACAAAATTAAAAACATAAATATATTTACAAGCATCTTAAATACCAGCTTATAATACTTGACATTTTTTTAATCATCTCAAATTGAGTTTTCTATAAGCGTTTAAAATGCAAGACATCCACTTCAATGAGTTACCAGTTTTCATTTCCACCAACATTGCAAATGGGTTTGTTTTTTTTTGGTTTTTCAAAATTGTCCATACTGTAGTCATTCAAAAGAAAATACAGTGTACTTTTTAAATGACTAGTTTAGGGGGGAAAATTACCATCCTGAGCTTTCTACCCCAGTTGTGTGATATTACTCCAAGAGAACTCTATAAACCAAATCCCTTACTGCCCTGTTTATCTGAACCACTAAAACTTTTTAAAGACTCCGATCCCTGGTACTCACATTAATCCATCTCCCTAACTTCTCATCAGGTTTGCTGGCAGGAAAAGCAGGGAAAACAGAGGAGAGGTGGGAGAATACAAATGGCCATCTGAAATCACAACAGATTTATAATCCAAAAATCGGATCTTAACTGATTTCCTTCAGGATCAAACCCATGATTTTATTATATGAAAACATAAAATGATTTCAAATGATGCACATGTAATAGCAAATCTCAGTGGCACAACAGCACATAAAGACACTCAAGTGGTTAACTTAATACCCACTCATGAACAGAGTAGACAGATTCAGTAGAATTTTAAGGAAAGTTTTCATTATCTAGTCTTCAAATTTCAGCACTGAGTGTGTAATTTATTTCCATATAATAGTATATAAAAAGAAAAGACTAACAAAGTATGAGGAAAGCAAATGTCCTCAAGAAGTCTCAAAATAAAAAAGATGCAAAAAAAAAAAAGATGCAATACCTATCCCCCACACTTAATAAGAATACCATTTTGTTCCACTTTTCCCGGAAACCCTCAGCTCAGCTGAGAATCACAGCGAGAAGTCTTTATCGTCAGAGATTAGCAACAAGTTTAAAAGAAAAAGAATGACAACAGGTTAGAGTTATATACATTTTACTAGTTTGGTTCTCACTCATCCTGGATATTTTAAAAGGTGTCAGATGAGCCATGGATGCTGGTGGCAGGAGGCAACTGGAGAAGAGGCCTGGGGATGAGGAATAGGTAAGACTTGTTTACAAGTGCAGAGCAAACTCCCCTCTTCTGGATCTAAAAGACTTCTCCTGTCTTCAGTAAAATCAAATTGTCTTTCTGCTCAATGCAGATGGCAGTTTGCTCAAAAGAAGCGTTTCTCTCGGGGAGGGAGGTCAGTGTTCAGTGAGCACCACTCCGGGGTCAGCCCTGCTGCAGAGCCTCGGGCCATCACTGCTGCATGTTGTTGATGATCGCCAGGATGCTCATCTTCTCCTGGGCAGAGTCCACATCCTCATTCTGCTTCTGGGCCACTCCTGTGCCCAGGCCATAGAGCCGCCCACAGTACTTGGCATCATCAATACTGTCCTCAAAAAATAACTGCAGAATGGGACAGAGAACCCGTGGTAAGAATTACGCCGAGTCACACTGAGAATCATGTCAAATCTAAATACTGTGACATCAACACCTCCCAGCTCTCTTAGAGTCCTGAAAAATCTAGCCAACTAGAAACTATTCCATAAAGAAAGGTGCCAAACCTCTTCATGCTCCTTTCTGAACAGACGTCTATTTCTCCATGAAATAGATGAAGAACTAGGTCTTTTACTGCCAGGATCCCCGTGCTGCAGCTACAACCGCTGCTGTTCAGTATAAATGTCCCATTTTGTTTCTTCATATTGGGGAATGGAGTATAAAGATTTTGTTTTTAGAGAGATGGAAATAGAGGGAGAGAAACATCGATGTGGGAGAAACACATTAACTGGCTGCCTCTCACACGCCCCCAACCAGGGACCTGGCCCGCAACCCAGGCATGTCCTTGACCAGGAATTTGCTACACCAGCCAGGGCATGTCCCTTCTCTTTTTTAACACTCAGTGTAACTTAAGAGGTTAACAGCTTGGGCTCTACAGACTGACTCACCATGTGACCTTACAAAGATCACTTCAACTCTCCTTAAGCCCTGTTCCCTGTCTAAAACAGAGTACTATATAATACGTTGTCTGTCATGGACATGAAGCATCTCAGCCCTGGAACTACTGGGCAGGATAAGTCTTTGATGGGGTGGCAGGTAGCTTGTCCAATGCAGTGTGGTACCACAGGGTGTTTAGCAGCATCCTTGGCCAGTGGCATATTGCCCCCCAAACCCCCCCAGGATGTGACAACCAAAAGTGCCTCCAGACACTGCCAAAAGTATTGTACTTCAAGGGGCCAACTCAGGAAGAATGACGCCTCCAGCTTTGTTCTTTCTCAAGATTGCTCTATTGGAGTCTTTTGTGGTTCCACACAAATTTTAGGATTGCTCTGTTTCTGTGAAAAACACCACTGAAATTTTACAGGGATTGCACTGAATCTACTTTGGATTGGAACTGGATTTTAACAATATCGATTCTTCTACTCCATGAGCGCAGACCATTTTCCCACTCATTTGTGTCCTCTTCACCCCTTCCATCCATGGCTTCTAGTTCCACGTCCACGTCTCTGGTTAAATGTATTCCAAGGTATTGTGTACTCATTTTGTTGCAACTATAAATGCGTTTTCTTAATTTCTCTTTCTCAAAGTTCATTATTAGTATAAAAAAACAACAGAATTCTGTATATTGATTTTGTATCCTGCAACTGTACTGAATTTATTAGTCCTAATGTTTTTTTGTCAGTCTTTAAGGTTTCCACATATAACAACATGTCATCTGGAAATAGTGACAGTTTACTTCCTCTTTTTTGGTCTGGATGCCTTTTAGTTTCTTTTTCTTGCCTAAATGTTCTGGCTAGAACTTCAATATCATGTTGAATAAAACTGGTGAGAGTGAACATCCTCGTCTTGTTCTCACCTTAGCAGAAAAGCTGCTGAATATGATCTTAGCTGTGGGATAAGTGGGTGGTCTAGCAAATGTGTTCACATTATAGAAATTAGAAGAGAAACAAGTAAGTACAACAATCAGAGCTGGGAGGACACCAGATACACTTCTAGATTGTGTGTGCTGCGTGGTCTCCATCTCAGAATGCTTCTCTGCTTCC